ACCCCGAGGCCAGTCTCCTGTGCGAGCCCCTGCAGTGAGGTGCCCAGGCCTGTCGTGGGCAGCCGGGGTCCGGCAGCGCTCCGCGAGCGCCACAGGCCGGGGAGCGGGGCCTGGGGTGTCCCTCGTCCCCTGGCACTGCCCTTCCACCTCCTCTCCTCTCGCTCCGGGACAATAAAGATGGGACCGCTCAGGGTGTAGCAGGGCGTGGTTTGTCTGCTTGTGCGAGCCCCTGCAGTGAGGTGCCCAGGCCTGTCGTGGGCAGCCGGGGTCCGGCAGCGCTCCGCGAGCGCCACAGGCCGGGGAGCGGGGCCTGGGGTGTCCCTCGTCCCCTGGCACTGCCCTTCCACCTCCTCTCCTCTCGCTCCGGGACAATAAAGATGGGACCGCTCAGGGTGTAGCAGGGCGTGGTTTGTCTGCTTGTGCTGCCTGCGCCCGTAGCTGGAGTGCCTGTGGGGGTGAGCCCCTCTTTCCTTGGAGGGAAACGAGTCTCGGCTGCCGTGTGACCAGGGGACAGAGGCTGCCCTGAGCAGGTCCTAGCCCAGCTGAGCTTTGGGGACGATGCTTTGATTAATACTATCTGTTAGCTTTAAATGCCTGAGAGTTGATAAGCAGCAGCAGCGTGGAGTTTGCCAGGAGCCACTGATGCCAGTCCAGATTGATCTGTTTGGCTGGGACGCACCCATGAGAGCCGTTCCGTGGGCTCTCCGTGCCTTCTCATAGTGGCACAGTCTAGTTCAGCACAGGGCTTGGAAAGTTTAACTTGCTTTGGCAAGAGCTTCTTTATGAAATTCTTTTATGAGGATACTACTGGACTATGGATTAAAAAACAAATAAATTGTCTTTTTCCAAGACTGCTGAAAACAGTGCAGTCACTGTGGTGTCTGCTCAAACACAAACATGTCCTCCTCCTGTTTGTGCTCTTTGGGGTGTTTGTGGCCCTGTTGCAAGGCAGCATCCAGTCTGGTTTTCAGAGTTCAGCTCTGCACCACGGAACAACAGAGAGCTCGTGCAGCTCCTGTTGTTGAGCAAGAGATTCCCTCAACTTTAACGACTGCCTTTGTGTGAAAGGCCTTCTTGTGCTGGGTGCAGGACAAAGAAAAACACAGGGCACAGAATGAAGAGTAGTAAAGCTTCAGGACAGATGGGGGCAAATGCACGGGAAGGAGATGGGGGAAGATACTGTCTGAGGTTGCCCAGCAGGGGACAAGAGGCTCCAGGTGCCTGGACTCCATAGAGGGATCCCTGTGTTGTCTGTCACGACGTTGTCCTTTCCACGTGCTTCTGCCTTTGGTGACTGAAGAGCGAGTGGGCGTGGGGGAGGTGGGCATGGCAGGGTGTAGAGAGGAGAAGGGGTCTGAGTCAGTGAGTCAGCTTCCAAGAAGTGGTGTTTTTTCTGGGCTCTGTTAACAATGACAGTGGCACAAAGCAGATGGGCCAGGAGTGCTGTTTATTATGCTCTGGGTGAGACAGAAACTCGTGTCCTGCATTGTTAGTGCCATGAGACCTTCACTTCGTTGACCAAGACAGGCTGACCAAGACCTGTCATCTAAGTAACAGCATTACAAACTGAAGCATAAGTAGCTACTTGTCCTGTGCCTGGAGCTAGACCAGGAGCTGGTTTGATTTATAAGTATTTATGAATATTAAACCAGACTGTCCTTTCTGTAATAAATACTTATGGTAAGGACTGGCAGAACATCAGGAGGGGCTCCCTGTGGAACCTGTGGCTCATTCTGTGTTAGGTGCTTCAAACAAACTGTGGCAGGACCCCTTGTCAGTGCCTGGAACACGTCTCAGACTGGGGGATAGATTCAGTCATTGCCAGGGCCTGCTCCAAAGCACCTTCCCATGCCTGGGCTTCACCTGGGAAGTAACCACATCAGTGCTGAGGACACGTACGGGCAGATTTGCCACCGGAGAAGGCATCTGAGGATGCAACCATACCTCAGATAGGAATTTCACTGTCAGTGCTGACCATAATCCAACAGACAGAGGGTGAGAGCACCTCCATCCCCAGGAGGAAGTAGGGCAGCCCTGAGGTGCAGATCTGCACCACAGACCCTCAGGGTCTGGCCTCAGCAGCCAACTCTTAGAGGGGAGCAGTGAGAAAACTGGCTCAAGTCTGGCTCCACACCAGATATTTGCTGGCTGAAGCAATCCCAGCAGAATTATTCAGATATTTTCTAAAAGAACTTCACAGAAACAGCTCTTCAGTTTAAAAAAAAAAAAAAGTTAGTTAAATATATAAAGCTTTTATTGTATCAGGAATTAAATTAACTTCTCACACATGTACTTTGCACTGAATCAAAACAGGAAAACCCAAACAACAACACAACCCAAACAAAGTTCAGGAGTCTATAAAGGCAGCGGGGAGTCGCCCCTTCAGGGAGCAGTGTAACAAGCACCGGGGAGGGGCGGGGCGGAGCCGGAGCCGGGCACTCCCGCCACCCTTTTGGCACAGGTTTGGTTCCTCTCCCTCACGCCTGAGAACACAAAGGCTTTCTGCAGCTGCGGTTCCCCTGGCTGAGCACAGGCTTGAGGAGCTCAGAGGGTTGTACCGCTGGCCACGTTCTATGTCAGTTTATCAGCAGCTGGTGATGGGAGAACACGGACGCAGTCAGGACGCTGCTCTTTGGCGGCAGCTGCTCCACGGTTCCCGTGTGTCTGCTCCTGTGCTACAGCGACCTCCCGAGCCAGCCTCAGCCCTCCGCAGGGCTCCTGGTGCATCGCAGCACAGGGCGCCATTAACTTCCCAACTTTTAACATCACCTTTAACTACCCGTGCGGGAATGCGGGTTCATGAAGCCTCCTCCTTGTACTTGCCCTGTAAGTTTAACTGAGTTTATTTTTTCATTAAATTCACAATTGGTTTTAAACAGATGAGACCCTGCAATGGAATGAACTCTTTTCCTCCCTCATTTATGACTCCAAAGGCCACACAGATCCTGAAAACTGAGGCTCAGCTCTTGGAACACAGGCATCACTACTGTAGAGATTTCAAAACTAGCATTTGGAGAAACATTTCTGCACTGAAACAACTGCTGTGAACAGCTGGTTCAGTCCTCACCTGCATCAGAGGTTTCTGCCCGTACACTCCTTTCTCCTACCAGACACCTGAGACACACAAGCCTCTTGGTGCAGAGTGGGACACTCAACAAAAGCTTTTCTCTGCCACAAGACAAGACAACCTCATGACTACAGCTAAAAGAATTTCATGCTAGAAGAGGATTTCCATGCAGGTGTAAGGTTTAACAGCCTCTCTGTGATCCTTTGGGGTTTTTTATTTAGAAGCTGTGTATCTCAAGCATCTTGATTCTGGTTGTAGGTGTTCATCCAGTGCCGTGAGGCTGGAGTTTATTCGTTTCATTACTCTCATTCTGTTCTCAAGGCATCTGTTCAGGCTTTTGCTTACATGTACCTCACTGCTGAGTGATCTACCCTACATGGAACATACTGCATTTCGTTTTTAAAAGCCCCTTGATTTTGTCTTATCAGTGCTGTCAGACTACAAAACATTAAATTATAAAAAAGGCTGATATACACAATCCAATATCCAGCAGGATATTTGGTTTTGCACCACAGGTTGAAGGAAATGTTAAAGGTCAAGGAAATAGAAAAACAAATCCAAAAAGCTTCAAAAACAAGCCAGTTTTAGTTTGGATTTTCCTTTTAAAAAGATATAATGCTCTAATAAATGTAATTTAAGGAAGGTCATACACATGACCAGCATCTGCAGTAGGTCACTTCCTTATTTATCCCTCTCCCTCACAAAAATATATATACATATATTTATATAAATGAAATGGTTTTAGA